AAGGAGGCCTCTTGGGTGCATTGGGGTCCTTGAACTTCTTTTTGGTCTCCCCTTTGGGGGGGATGTAGGTTTTCATTTCTCTTTCATAACGAGCCTTGTCAGCCTTGGCCATGTCTTCAAATTTCCCCTTTTCTTTAGCAGACATGGTCTTCCACCTTTCTGAGCACTTCTTGGAGAACTCTGAGAAGTTGACAGAAGCATCCGGGTGCTTCTTCTTGTGTTCCTCCCGGCAGGTTTGCACAAAGAATGCATACGAGGACATTTTGCCTCTCGGCTTCTTAGGATCTCCTTTGCCCATGTTTAGTTGATTTTCGTCCGCGAGGCACAGAGTCGCCCAGTGCCCGTCCGGCTCTCGCTTGCCCCGGCGCTGTCTCTATGGAGCTCAATGTACTGCAATGGCTGTGAGAGCCTTAATTCAGTTTCTTATCTATCTATCTATCTTCTGCCCTGCCATAGGCCAAATCACCTTCTTTATTAACCAATGGTAATAAAACATATTCACAGCACACAGAGGAGAATCCCGCATCATCTCCCCTTTTCTGTCTAAATAAAAAGAGGGATGAAAAAAACTTGAGTGCAGTCTTCTCTCTTACGGAATGCTTGAGCCTGGGTCAAATGAAGAAACCTTTGTTCATTCTTATACCCTAGACTGGCAACCCAAAATGCCAGAAGGATGCAGAAGGATGATGGCTGACAGGAAGAAGGAGACTAATCCTGCCTGCCAAAATGTCAATGGACTTATTGGGACGTGTCTTCAAGCCACCCACCTGGGCCCCCCCAAAATTGAGGAACTGCTCAGATAGTCCCATCTCAAGGTTAGGTCTTCAAGCTAGGATAGAACAGGTAACTTCTAAGTGCCTGGCCTGCAAGCTAACCAATGCCAAGCCCACTGGAGGGCAGGCTGGGGTGCGGCTGAGAAGAGACTGCCCTGAGTTACACTGGGAAACTGACTTCACTGAAGTAAAGCAGGGAAAATACAGTTATAGATATCTGATAGTTTTTGTAGACATTTTTTTTTCAGGTTAGGTAGAGGCTTTTCCCACCATACATGAACCGGCCCAGATGGTGGTCCAGAAGTTACTAGAGGAGATCATTCCCAGGTATGGCACCCCTGTTCTGATTGGTCCAGAAATGGGCCAGCCTTTGCAGCACAGGTAACTCAAGGTACAGTGAAAGAACTTGGGGAAGATTGGAAATTGCAATGTGCCGATAGGCCCCAGAGTTCTGGTCAAGTAGAGCGTATAAATTGGACCCTCAAAGAGACCCTCATCAAATTAACTGTGGAAACTTGCGGTGACTGGGGGGCTTTCCTCCCCTTCACCCTGTATAGGGTGCGGCACTCCCCTTACACGCTTGGGCTTACACCATTTGGGTGAGTCACCATGTGGTTGCTGGGAATTAAACTCATGACCTCTGGAAGAACAGTCAGTGCTCTCAACTGCTGAGCCATCTCTCCAGCCCGGCTTACACCATTTGGGATGATGTTTGGTCGGCTCCCTTCCATCCTCCCCAATTTGCAGTCTGACTTGCTCACTGAGTTCAGTGACGTTCATTCATGCTTACCTCCTTGAATGCAGCAGCCTCGGGGTTCAAAGACATCTGGCCGAGCCGGGCGGTGGTGGCACACGCCTTTAATCCCAGTACTCTGGAGGCAGAGGCAGGCGGATTTCTGTGAGTTCGAGACCAGCCTGGTCTACAGAGCTAGTTCCAGGACAGGCTCCAAAGCCACAGAGAAACCCTGTCTCGAAAAAAAAAAAAAAAGACGTATGGCCGAGGTTGCAACCCGTGTATGAGATGGCACCTCCACCTAGTCCACATCAGTTCCAGCCTGGGGACTGGGTCTATGTCAGGAGGCACCAACACAGGACCTAGAACCTCACTGGAACCTAAGTCATGATTCTGACCACCCCCACTGAATCAAGGTCAATGGGGTCACCACCTGGGTACATCACTCCCACACCAGCATGGCCGATCCACACTTGATGGATCCACCGGAACCTGTCCCAGATGACACTGGACCTCACCAGAGTTGGACTGTAAAGCCTGACCCTGACAACCCCCCCTCCCCCCCCAGACTCAAACTTAAGGTCAGATCTCCCGATGGCCATATTAATGCCTGCTCTGCTCCTTGTACTACTGACACTAGGCAGGGCTGCCAGTATTCCACATCAACCTCTACCCTTGCCTGGCAACTTCCAGGTCCCCATGGTGACCTGATCAAGCAAATTTCTAGCGTTTCCCTACTAAGGATATGGTTCCCAGGGATTGTGTTTGACCTCTGTGAGATAGCGAGTCCTGACTACAGCACCGCAGATCTTGGATATTCCAACACACATGGTGGCTGCGGAGCTGACCACCTAAGAAGGGCAAGCTTTATGTCTGCCCAGGGTGGCATAGACCAAAGGGTAAAATATCTGGGGGCCCAGCGGATCATTTCTGTAAGGAGTGGGGCTGTTGAGTCCACTGAACATACACGGTGGAAGTCCCCTGTTACAACAGATCTCATTGTCTTCCAATGGGAATCGAACAGTGTTCCTGCTGACCCTAGAGCTCAGTATCCATGTGACATCCTCTGCCCAGGGCCTATCTCACAAACTGGGATATAGGTAGGATATGGGGCGTTACAATATATGAGAGATCCTATCTAGGAACCCTATTCACCCTACATCTGATTATCACAGTTCCTATCCTCCCGGGAGGGCAGAGTCCCTAAGATATAGGGCCCAAGAAAACACTGGCTCTGCCTGCACCGTCCTTTCTCCCCAACAAAGCACCGGATCTTTCCTGGTCAACTCAGTTTCCCTATCAGGTCACCGTGTCCCTGGATGCACCCCATCTCTCTACCGCATTGCCTATTCCAGCCCTTGTAGGATCAGACCCCCTTTTGAGGTTGCTTGAGGCCTCCTCAACCACTGAGGTCATCAATGCTACTAAACCTGACCTCCCCATTCTTGTTGGTTGATGCTAAGCCCCCCTACTACGAAGGGGTAGCTGTAACAGGAAATTACACACAATCTGACCGGTCCTGACAGTGTCACTGGTAACCTAAGGGGGACACCAGGCACAAGTTACAGTTAGTTAAAGGATTTGGCTTTTGCTGGGATTGTACCTGATACCTATAAACCTCTGTGTAACCAGATGATCCAGACCCCTCCCCCAGGTTTCCCTTACCCTCAGAGGACAGTTGGTGGGCATGCTCTCCTTCAGGCTGGTCCCTGTGTTCGTGGGCAAGTACTAAGTCAGACTAAGGACTTCTGCATATTAGCGCGGCTGGCCCCTAAGATAATTTGTCAAAAACACAGAGAAATATAGCAGAGAACAGGGGCATCTGACCACACTAAAAAGGAAGCCTATAACCACCCTCATGGTAGCTATTCTCCTGAGCCGTGGGCTAGCAGGTGCAGGGACTGGGATATCTATCATCTTGGGCAATGCAAGGCAGATATTACAATAATTTATGGACTGCAATTGACCTAGACATTGAAAGACTAGAAAACTCCATTGCCGACTTACAGGAGTCTCTAACCTCCTTGGCTAAAGTAGTGTTGCAAAACAAGAGAGTATTAGGTCTTGCATTTTTACAACAAGGTGGGCTCTGTGCAGCTTTTAGGAGGAGAATGTTGCTTTTATGCTGATCATTCTGGGGTAGTGAAGGAATCACTGGCCCGAGTTAGGGAGGGACTAAGCAAAAAGACAAAGGAAATGTGAACAGGCTCAAGACTGGTTCGAATTTCTACTTACTGCCTCTCTGTGGTTAACTACCTTAGTCTCCACACTGCTAGGGCCCCTGCTAATCCTAATACTTTTACTTACTTTTGGGCCCTGTATCCTGAACAGGCTGCATGTTTCCGCTGGGGAAAGATCAGCAGAGAACAGTTAATGGTACTACGGTCTCAGTATATATTCCTAAGAGAGAACCCATGATTGGGTCCTCTAGTTACTTCTGGAGGGGGAAAGTGAGACCCTCACCCCAGCAGATCTGTAGCCATACCACAATCTCTGAGCACACTGACTCTGAACCCAGAGCCAGTGAAGAAACACACCAGGATATGGAAGCTGAGCCAGCAAGAGAAACATTTTATTCCTGAACCCAGCACCAGAGAAAAACACCCTGACCCTCAAACCTGAGCCAAAGAAACACACTTGCCCCTAGAATCAGAGCCAGTTAAAGAAATACACTCTGACCCTAAAATTAGAGCCAACAGTCTAAAAAGGACCAGTGAAAGAAACACAGTTTGGCCCTGAAATCAGAGCCATCTTTGCCCCTGACCAACTGAAACACAAAACTAGCCAAACTAGAGCAGGAAAACCCAACCAATCCCTGACCTTAGCCCGGAGAAGTAGCTCCCCCTAGTCTAGAGGCATGACTTCTCCCTAACCTTAGTCAGGGAAGTAGCTCCCTCTGGTCTAAGGTGTGACCCCAGACCCTTGACCCCAGACATCATGGACTCCTCACCTTGGGAGAGGCCAGTCAGAGTGGGCAACTCCTTACTCCAAAGGGAACAACCAAAGCCAAATCTGTGGCTAAGCAGGTTTAGAATTCCCCAAGCCTTCCCCTCTTTACTTGGCTACTATAAAAACCCTGCCCATACTGCTCAGGGTCTTTTTTTCCTCCTCCTCCTCCTCCTCCACGTGGCAGTACCTTCCTTCAACACAACATGTTCATCTTGTTTCTCTCTGCATCTGAGACTTTGCCCTTCTTCCCAGCATCCTCTATCTAGCTACCAACCAGTCAGCTCTTTTTTTTTTTTTTTTTTTGGTTTTTCGAGACAGGGTTTCTCTGTGGTTTTTTGGAGCCTGTCCTGGAACTAGCTCTTGTAGACCAGGCTGGTCTCGAACTCACAGAGATCCGCCTGCCTCTGCCTCCCAAGTGCTAGGATTAAAGGCGTGTGCCACCACTGCCCAGCTTTATCAGTCAGCTCTTTTATTAAGCCAAACAGAAGGCGCCTTCGCAAAGACACACCTTCACGTCGTACAAAAAGATTAATCCATACAAGGTAGGATTTAGCAACCTTAAAACCCACATTCAGTCGCCCACTTCCAACAGGGAGTTTCCACCCCACAAGATTCCACAGCCTTCCCAAAGAGCCCCACCAGTTGAGGACCAATGTTCAAAAGCCTGGAGTACCCTGGGAGGGATCAGTTCACATCCACACGGCAATAGAAGAACCTGGGTATCTGGAGGTGCAAATGCTGAGTGTTCTCCATTTGCACCTCCAAATCCATTCTACCCAATGGGCACCCATGCCTTTCAGCTGCCGGTTTCTATTAATCAGTAAGGAGGAAATCTGTCTGGTTAGATTCTCATGGTGCCTTTTCTGATCCGTTGGAGCCTCTGGCTTGTGCCTGCATGGTTTGGGAAGCCCCATCTCCCCTCCTCTTTCTCCCCAAATTTCACCTGCCC